TTAGTTACATATGGTATAAAATGGGATATATATGTAACAGTGAATTTGTAAAATCCCTGAAAGTTCAGGAGTTTTGTAAAATCACTGAATTGATTAGTTATTTTATAAAATCCCAGATTTTGAGCAGGGATTTTGTAATTAAAAAAAAATTGATAGATTCACTGATTTAATTCAGGGAATATATCGATAAATAAAAAAAGAAAAACAATCTTTTTTTAAATTTTTTCACTGAAAAAAAGAAATAAGCCAACAACAGCAACACTGGACATCTATTTAATTAATACAAGGTGATAAAAAATGAAGAAATTGCAGAACCTATTGCCAAAGACCCACAAAAGAGGCAAACCAAGCTCAAATATTATGTTTAATTCGTCAGGCTGTAATTGCTGAAAAGTATAAAAAAAAAACATATAGGCAGTATGTTGAATTGATTATCTTCATAAGAGGACAAAAACACATGCAAGAATTTAGAAATTGATTTGTTTAGGTCATGTCATCTAGTGGCAAGTATTAATCAGTTGGAGCTCAGACATAAACAAGTCGTTTTTTGTTTTTGACTTACAGAAGTCCAAAAATGTATTGATTATAAAGATGTGTTTTCATTTTCAGACTTATTTAAGTCAGAAAATGACAGACGTGTTTAGGTCTATTTATGTTTATGAAAAGACTTAATTTTAATTGGTGACCAAAGTTAACCACCTATGACATCATAAACCTGTCTGAGAGTTCACAAGGACCTGAGCTATCAATATTTAATTATCTTATTGAACATTTTTACTTAACATAAGATTATTTTCCTCATTTTGTATGGTTATAGATGGTTGCATTGTAAAGTAAATAAACATTATCTCCACTTTTTTAGGCTCTCATGCATATTTTTCTTTAGAAGACAAAGCATTGTCTTTCAATGTTGTCATAATTTCATGCAGATGCTTGACCTTTTTATAAATATGCTTGGGTCTTGAAGTTGACCAATTTTGGTAACTTATCGACTTGTAGGAGTCAATATTTGCAACTTTTTAATTCAGGTCAAATATATCTTGCTTAACACTAATTGACTTATTGAAGTCATAATTTGTCTTAAATTAAAGGGAGACAAATCTTTAAACCTACAAATTTAGACCTCTATGAGTCAAAAGCAGATTTAGACTTACCGGTATTCATGTCTGAGCTCTGACTGTTAATGGTATATCAGATCAAGAATATATTTATGTGAGGTTAATATGAACCCTGTTTTATGCTAGACCAACACGCTGATCCAGCAGAATATAAACATGCTAGTTCACCTGGTAAAAGTCCACTGGAAGACATGTCATCCTACAGGGCATATTATTCTGACTCAAACTGGTAACAAGTCAAATATTATCATCGTAGATTTTTCATGTTTGATCAGTACAAAATGAATTAAAACTAAAATAAGTGTTGTCTTATTAATATGCTACAGATAAAAAGTGATCTCTGTCATAAAAAAAAATTAAAAAGACTACAGGTACATTTTGTAGTATGTAAAAAAAATACCTCGTATTGGACCTGTATTTCAATTCTTGACCATTTCTCATGTTTTACTTGCTTTGGTCATATATAAGATACTGTGATATACATGTACATCCATGCTATCACATAGGAATACATATTTTTTTTGTATTTTTTCAACTCTTTGGATCAAAATTGAATAAAGAATAAATTTTGCTTAATAGTATTAATATTATGATGCATTAAATTCATGTGCATCTGCCTAAATTTATTTTTTAAATGTCCAGAAAAATATGATTCCCAGTTTACCTGATGAATTTCACATGACTGGGAATTTAATTTATATCACCACTTGTCATTATTTTGTAAAACATTATTGAATGTCCAGGACATCATGTTACATGTAGTTGTAAATTGAGATTCTCGTTAAAGATTGTAAGCCTATAAATGAAAATATCTGTCAATCACATATTAATTAACCGATAAAGAGCTTATTTCTATCATTTTTTAAAGATATCTTCCCTATCTGCTTATAATCAACGAAATGGTCGTGAAAAAAAATCCACTGCTGATCACAGCTGGTCGAGTGTCGTACGTTTGCCACATTATCCATCAGCTGTCTTTCTACCTTTTATATTTCAATTTTTATTCAATGAATATAATAAATCTACCGTTAATTCCCACCCTTAACCTACCGAATAGTACAATTTGATCGACTCGTAATAATTAAAAATAAAACAAATCAGCTGAGTGATTACGCAACATCCTCAAGATAAAAATCATCGTAAAATGATAACTTTAACAGACGGTCAGTTTTCTGCTTGAATAGTTTTTAATGTTTTATCCGAGGATATTCAAAGTCACCGTTGTATTTATTTAATTTGATTGTCGACAGTATTATAGTCCTGGGTTGTTTAAAAATTTCTCGATTTTCCTTTTCAGTCGCCATTTTTTTTTACCTGGGAGACTTGTAATGCCTCCCTTTTACCGATTTTCATAGCGATTTGACTTTGCCATGAAGTCAGTCGGCTGGCAAGATTTAGCGATTTTCAAAATTCTTTGTCGACTTAAAACCGTCATTTTGCCGGCAAGATTATGGCCTGAATACTATAAAGAAAGTAGGTATGGAGTTCTACAATATGGAAATGTGAAAAAATAGGTGTGGTTATTGAAAAGCTGAGAAATTATATAACAGCAGATGTCACCAAAACTAATTACATAATGTATGCAAAAATGAATAAATTGAATTTGTAGTCTATATATTTGTACAAATATCATTTATTCATGATAGTCCCTTTAATATAGTGATTTCAAACCAGTAGTCTATTCAGTAAATATATTTTTACAATGATGTTCTATCTATATTAAGGAAATTCATTTCTGATATTAAGTTTAAACTTGTAATTAGGGATTTTACAAAATTCCCTAGCAATATTTTCAGTGATTTTATAAGATCCTATCAGTTTTAGGGTTTTACAAAAGCACTGAAACTGTTAGGGATTCACTAAAATTCACAAAATCACTAATTAAATTTACAAAATACCTGATTTTACAAATTCACTGTAACAGATATATTCCATGAGGTATGAAGCTGTCAGCATGGTCAGGGTAGGAAATGGTTTTTTGTCAGGGGTACGAAAGTACTATACTTCTCAGTGATATTAGATAACTATTATTTGATGGATTATACCTCAACTTGCATACAATCCACCATTTGACTTATACCAAGATAGACCAAATAGGGTATAATGTTGTTTTCTTCTCTATAGATTTTTTGAATGAAAGTCATGCATGTTATTGCATAAACATGTACAGTGTACCATTTTAACAGGTTGGGAAACATTCAACTGAATAGGTTGTAATTTGGCCTAAATGGGATATAAATTTACAGTGCAAAATATCTTAATTTTTAGATTTAGCAAAAATATTGAAAAGTGCAATTGTTTAGGTCAATAGTCATGATAGTAGCAACTTTTGGTTAGTGACTTCTCCAGAAAATGAATAAGCTGCTAGATTGATCCATCTGAAAAACAGCATCTTCCAAGGGATCAAACTCATAAACAACCTGGTTTTCAGACAAGATGCTTAGCAAAAGTTGTTTCCTTTCATGTACATGTAATGATTTGCACTTCATTAATTTTCCCTTGAATCCAAAAAAACTTTGCACAGTAAATTTATATCCCATTTGGGGTATTATATCCCAAACAGGATATTATAATGGGGATTAACCTATTTGAGTGATTGATCCCAACCTTTTTAACCCTTATTACCTAGTCTGTAAATTCTACCTTTGTAAGATGAACCACTTCAACAGAGCTTTCTCTTGAAGTGTACAATTCCAAACTTTAAATGTACTACATGTCACTAACGGCATAACACATTGGAATGAATAAAATATAAAATCTTCTATATACATGTATTATACATGTATTATACACATACACATGATATATTTACATGTACATCACACTACCTGTACCACAACACTTATTAATACCAACCCAATACTATAATAGTCTATATTTTTTTATTCAATAGGAAACTCATACATTGTATCCATGTACTATTAACACCTCAAATCCAATGAATACATGGTTAAATTAATTAGATGATACAAATAAAATCTAAAAGCTTGCTACATTCAGCAAATGTCAGCAAATTGATCAGAGTGGAACAGCCCAGTGTGAATGAGAATCAGTGCAAAACTACCCATTACCATAGAAAGGTCAGAGGCAGAACCGCATTAACTTATTTTTTACAAAGAGGGCCTGGGGCATAGAAAACCTTTAAGTATACCAGTTTTGCTTTTCTGACTCAAAGGGTTATTGTCATCTGCTCATGTCTGTCAAATATTTGAAGGCAATCAGTTTCCATGGGAGATAACCTAAAACATTATTCTTTTAAATATAGAAGTCTTTTCGAAAGAAAAATTGATTATCTCCCATGGAAACTTCCTAACAATGTATTGAAATTTCACACATATTTTACTGAATATAAAATGTTTTAATTCAAATGATGTCTGATTCTTATGAATATAGAAGACTTTTCGAAAGAAAAATTGTATGAAAGCTTAGTTTGGACATTTTTATAGTAATTCAAAATTTCTATCCATCACCTTTAGCATTGACCTTATTTTCATGGTTCATTGGTCATTGTTAAGTTTTTGTGTTTTGGTCTGTTTTTCAACTACCATAAGCAATAGATCAACTTTATTTGGTGTTTGGGATAATTGTAAGCTGACCTTGACCATATTGTAATTGGATCTTTAGAAATGTTAAGTTGATGTGATACTTGTAGGAAAACCTTTATCTTTAAGACTTTCAACATAAAGTCAATGGTCAGTAGTGAAGCAGGTGAAATATTTCAGCATGTGCACTCTTGTTTATCTTTTTTTTGAAATATATGATAGACAGAAGTGTGAACAGAGAGAAAAAAACCTACAGTTTTACAAGATCTACATGTTTTTCTTGTCAAGGTGGTTGGAGCCTTTTTATTGTACATTAATTTTTTTATTTTTATTTCTAAAGGCAAACTGGAAACTCAGGAGATCCAGGGAAAAATGGAGGTGTTGAATAAAAAATTGACAGACATGAAGATGCAAGTTCATGATTCTATCCATCAACAGTATGTCAACTTTTTACCACGTCTTAAAACAGCACAGACTTTGTCTGATAATGTAGTTAGTTTATCAAAGGAGATGACAGAAGTTGCTGATAAGATTGAGAATGAGGTAAAAGGATTTATTTGAAGACATGTAAAAGGAATTACATAGTTGAAGATAATTGAATTAGACTTGTGAACTCTTTTAAGATCCAAAGACATATAGAATTTCGTGGTCTTCGAAATAATTCTTTCATGAAAAGTAAATAAATACTTTTAAAAACTATTTAAGACAGACAATTTAAAACCCTATTGTTCGTGTTATAGAAATTAAATCGGGAGAAATTTAAAGAAAAGAAAATATTACTTTCTTTATGATATAACTTTAGAAAAAAATTGGAATGACTAAGGCAAATCCATTTTAACTCTACCTCCAAAATTATTTACCTGTACCAGTAGATAAAATACTTGTATGATAGAGAGGTGGAAGATACTAAAGGGATATTCAAACTCATAATTTGATGACAAATTGACAACTACATGGCAAAAATATGGAAAACACAACCTAAAACAATCAAACACTGAGCAACTCTAATCCCATCAAAAATTGGATGTGATCTCAGGTTCCACAGAAGGGTCAGCAGATGCTGCTCAACATGATGCACCCTCCATGTTGCCCATGTAAGTTAATTTGGTGATAAAATTGATAAAATTTTACCCCTGACCTTATAAATTAAGCAGAACACATAAGAAAAAAAAAGATTTTTTTTTTTTTTTTAAACCAGGAGGGTTTTATTAACAGTCTTTATGTATAAATCCAAAATCTAGGCATTTCCAATTTAATCACTCTAATGTGATTGATGACAAAGAATTCCATTTCACCTGTTTTAGAAATATAGATGGTATAACCAAGACTTTTGATTGTTTTTTTTGCAGATTAAAAGTCAGCTGAATATGTCAACTGGAGTATTTCAGACATTGAACACACAGTACCAGGAAGCATCTGAAGTCCTTGTTGTTTTAGATAAAATTGTTCAGATCCAGAATACACTGGAGTGTGCTACATTAGCCAACAAGTCCAAAGATTTTGCGAAGGCTGCTGAGGCTTTGCTGGAAATACAGGTTTCTCTTAGCAAGCCAATTACTGAAGATGATAGTGAAATCAAAATTCTATCAGCTCTTCATGAAGAAAGTTGTGTTCAGAAAGAAAAATTCTTATTTGATTTAGGTGATCAATGGAAAGAATTGATAGTTTGGGATGTAACAAAAGTTAGTGAAAAGACAGGGGAGATCATTTGTAAATTAAAGTTAGAAAAAGATGCTGATAGCTTAGAAAGCCTTCGTGGAATTGTTATTGCCATGCATAAATTTGGAATTCTTGAATCCAAAATGCAGCACTTTGGAAATCAGCTTTTGACATACATTTTAAACCCTTTGATAACAGATTCAGATTGTCAGGTTGCTATAAGTCCTAATAGTAGTACTATACAAGTAAGGTACTTTTCAGGAAACAAGCAAAGCACTTACCAGCACCCCAAAGAAGTATTCTCAAATTTTGGAAATATTTTACACCTACTAAATGATTGCTTTTTGAAATTGTTCAATGTAGAAGGAAGAAAACAACCATACCCAAATTTAATGGAACTGTTAGGGTCAGCAATATCAAGTAAGGTGCTAGAACTTATCAAGGAATGTTTAAAGGCAGCCATTCCCACCAATAATAGTGAATTAGAGAGCTTCAAAGATATTGTCTTAATGACTGACACAGTGCACTGTAAATGGGTGGAAATTCATTTCATACCACCTTCCAACAATGTTCTAGTTGATTTTATTCAGAATATTAATGTTTTATTTGCCAACAAGAAATGTCAGGCAATTTTAGAGAGAGCAAGGAAACTGATGACAACAGAAATTCATAATACAGTTAAAGTGTCCAGTGATAAACCCTTGGGAGAATTACCTCCCCTAGGTCCAGATAGTGGAGGGGGAAAGAAGAAAAGAAAACTGGACTTAGCTAATGAAGTACATCTGAGTTCTAACACTTTCCGCTTACCAGAGTGCCATATTAGGTAAGTCATTGATTTATATCTATTCAAGGCAGTGTTTCAAATATGCCACTTTCACAGAGAGCCGGCCCTCTTTTCCTCTGTAATCTTTGGTGTGCTGCCTTTTTCATTGTGCAGACATGACCTTTTAATAAATTTAATGGCCCTAAGACCATGAAGACATTATGAGGTTAAGATCAATTGCATTTTTAAAATTTCTCCAATTTGCAGAATTAAACATTGAATCTACATAACTTTTGCAGATTTGGTTCAAAAATAGCTCCTTTCTTGGTTAATACAACCATAAGTTGGCAGTCAACTCAGTGAAATGGTGAAATTATACTTACAGTATCTTGGCAGGGTTCATATATGCTGATAAAAAGTATAGAGCACTTCCCTTCCAGGGTGAAAAGATGCATGTATTGGCAGATAATGTGTTTTGCATTTATCTTTGACTGGCAAATACATGTATAATATATTTATTTTCTAATCTTTTATTGAAAACTATGCCAAGAGATATTACTTTTGTAGGGATCAAATATTCATTCCAGCTTCACTGTTATGAATAATTATTGTGATATTTTTATTATTTGTATCATTGTTTTATTTTTATATTCAGTGTATGTGTGCAGGAGTTGATGAATGTAGCCTATGATACCTTGACTGAAGCCACAGAAAGTTCTGAACAATGTGCCATACAGCTGTTCTTTGCAGTCAGAAATATGTTTGAGTTATTTTGCAGTGTGATCCCAACATTTCACAGAGACAGTCTTCTGAAATTTCCTCAACTTAGTGGTAGGAAACATTTTTAATTGTAGTATTATCTTTTTATAGTAAATAAATGTAACAACAATTTATGTTGATAGTTGGGCTGTATAATAATCAATTTGTTTCTAATTTTTAGCTCACCTGTCCCAAAGGGGCCAAGTGAGCTTTTCTCATCACTTGGCGTCCGTCGTCGTCGTTAACTTTTACATCTTGAACTTCTTCTAGAGAACCACTGAATGGAATGAAACCAAACATGGCATGAATGTTCCTTATGAGGTGCTGACCATGTGTTGTTACTTTCAAGCCGATCCATCATCCAAGATGGCCGCCAGAGAGGAACTTAGTTTAACATAGGACCCTATGGGAAATACATACACAAATGTCTTCTTTTAGAGAACCACTGAATGGAATGAAACCAAACATGGCATGAATTTTTCTAATGAGGTGCTGGCCAAGTGTTGTTATTTTGTAGCCAATCAATCATCCAAGATGGCTGCCAGCAGGGAACTTAGTTTAACAAATGACCCTATGGACAATACATACAAATGTCTTCTTTGAGATAACCACTGAATGGAATGAAACCAAACATGGCATGAATGTTCCTTGTGAGGTGCTGACCAAGTGTTGTTACTTTGTAGTCAATCAATCACCCAAGATGGCTGCCAGCAGGGAACTTAGTTTAACAAAGGAGTAGGACCCTATGTGAAATACATACAAAAGTCTTCTTTTGAAGAACCACTGAATGGAATGAAACCAAACTTGGCATGAATGTTCTTTATGAGGTGCTGACCAAGTGTTGTTACTTTGTAGCAAATCCAACAACCAAGATGGCTGCCAACAGGGGACTTAGTTTAACAAAGGACCCTATGGGAAATAAATACAAATGTCTTCTTCTAGAAAACCGCTTAATGGATTGAAACCAAACATGGTAGAATGTTTCTTTTGAGGTGCTGACCAAGTGTTGTTACTTTGTAGCTGATTTGTCATCCAAGATGGCTGCCAGCAGGGGGGAGTAAGTTTAACATAGGACCCTATGGGAAATACATACAAATGTTTTTTACTAGAGAACCACTGAATAGAATGAAACCAAACATGGCATGAATGTTCCTAACGAGGTGTTGTTACTTTGTAGCCAAACCATCATCCAAGATGGCTGCCCGGCAAGGGAACTTAGTTTAACATAAGAACCTATGGGAAATACATACAAATGCTTCTTCTAGAGGAGCACTGAATGGATTGAAACCAAACATGGCATAAATGTTCCTTATGAGGTGCTGATGAAGACCTTAATACATGTATCTTTATAGATTGAGATATACTGTAAACTGCAAAAATATCAAGAAAAGAAGATCTACACATAAGTCAACATGAGCAAAATTGTCAAATGACATCTTGTTATTGTCCTTATAAAGTCATTTTCTACAATTTCAATGAATTTATTAATAATTTCTGTAAACTTTACAAAAATTCTTCTGCTTTTGATTAAATTATGGGGCCAATATTAAACCAAATTTGGCATCAATCATTATTAGGGTATCTGTTATGATTTTAATCTATTTTTACTTGATTTCCAAAACCAAAGTAGAATCAGGTGAGCGACACAGGGTCTTGAGAGCCTCTAGTTTTAGTGTAGAATAAAAGATTGGACAGCAGGAAGAGCAAATAAATTCTGTCATTGGTTAATTTAAAAAAATGTTTGACTTCAAGAATTTCAACTTAAAATCAATCATCATCAGTAAAGCAGAATGAGAGAAATTTCAGCGTGTGCACTCTGGTTTCATAAGGATATAAACCACTGCATGTTACTGTGAGGTTTCAACAATGAGCAAAACTTATAACATATAGTAAGATTTAAAAGGCCCCATATGACTCAGAGAAATTGTACCATACATGTACATTGTAGCTTAATTCTTATCACTTGTAATTTTCAGCTATTTTCCATAACAACTGTATGTTTATTGCTCATCACCTGATGACATTAGGGCACCAGTTCAGTAAAAATCTACCAACCAACATAAGCTCAACCTTTGTTGATCTGGTTCCAAAAGTCAGAAAACTTGGTGCTGAACATTTTCTACAGCAACTAGCTCAACAGAAAAAGATAATGACTGTATATCTGGAAGGTGCTAAAGGTAAATTTGATAAGACTGGAAAAAAGACCTGATATGTCTTATAATAATGGTTATTTTGTACTAGCTATATAGGGCAATTAGGAAAATTTGTAAAGTTTTCTTCTAAACAAGAGACATTATAAATATTAAATTAAACCTTGTCCATATTATGGAATGATTTATTGTGATTTATTTGTTTTAGTTCCCTAAGAGGTGCTATTAAAATGATAATTTTTTGAAAGGGAGTTAACAATTTAATTTGAACAACTTACTTTAATTATGCATGTTTTAATGTGGCTGTAGCTTAATCATCTATTTGTACATTGATTAAATGTGAACAGAGGAATCAATTTAATTATGATTGATCACAATTTAATTAGATCTCAAATGATGTAATGATTGTAAAATATTAAAACTAGACAAAGTATATGAACAGTCACTGACAGTAGACCATTTCCAAAATATTCATAGTAACCTTAACAAACAATTGAAATTCACCACATTGTTTTCAAGCATCAACAATAAATCATACAAGGATAAGTTCTTAGGAAGGTCTGAAATACTTGATTGCAAAAAAAACAATAGAAACAAGTTCAGTGATCTCATACTAAATCATCAGGTTATAGATAATGTATATTTTAAGGTTTTTCTTGTTGTATAACAGGATTGATCAAACGAAAGACCGACTATAGGGAGTTCTTCAGACCTGCCAACTATCCCAATTTTGGCGGTATCATCCTGATTTTCATGCCTTAACCCGAATCCCGATATCGGGATCGTAAAGCAAGTCAAAATCCTGATTTTCACAAAATCTACCCAAAAAGTTATTGGTTACTGATTTTGAAGTTTTTCTGATCAATTTCTGTAAATCTATAATTTTACCTGACGACACATTTTTGACAATTTTACGACCCTGCGCTAATCAATGGTCACAACAGGTGTCATAATTTGTTATTACAGGTAATCTGCTTATCTGATGGGTCATAACAATCCTCAAAATTAATTAATTTGTAAACAGAATCGATCAGTCGGCATTACAATTTTAATCTATTTATCATGTGATCGATCACAATTTGCAAAGTTTACCATAGTTTTATGACAAAATGGTAATTAACTGAAAGACGAAAACTGTAATGAACTCATTAGAAAACAGAGTTAATCTTGAAATCCGTTAAAATTTTTGAAATCAGACTTGTTTCTGTCTAGTTCTACTGTGTATAAGCCTCCACCGGTAAGAGCACCTCCGAACACAAAGAAAGATAACTCAAATTGTATCCATGTTCTCACTAATACGGATAGACTTACTCAAAATCTGTCTTCATCCTTCTAACTTTAGGACATTTAGGTTTAGGTCTTTTGAGTCATGGTTCAAAGATCTGAAGGTCTTTGGAGGGGGAAAAGGGGATGGGATCTTCACTTTGTATCCATTATTTTTTTAGGCCATTTTTCTCTATTCTTAAGTTACTTTACTTAGTAATAAGTACAAGAATCTTGCAAATAAAATAAATCTAGGCTTATTAGCTCATCATCAGTATACCAAAAGAAAAAAGAAGAAATATGAGACTATTCCAAGAGTTAAAAAAAGTGCAAGAAGAAACGCCGCAAAAACTGTAACCCTTAAAAATCTGGTCTCACACTAACTCCCCCATGGAGATTTTCAAAAGTTGGCAGGTCTGATTTCTTTCTTTAGCCAATCCTTACACCCAAGGTGTGTTATACTACAAGAAAAACCTTAAAATGTGCATTATCTGACTTAAATACTGTCAAAAATATTATTTTCTGTAAAGATTTGTATGGTTTGTTACTATTTTACTGATATATATATATATATTCTTTTTATGTGTTTAGGTTTAAATACACACTACAGCTCATTTATAATGTGAAATAAAACTCACTAATTAATCTAGATATAAACTTTCAAAATCACTGTCCAGTTACAATAAAAATGTAATTGTAATTGCATGAAACAAGAAACAAATGAATTGTTGCTGTGTATGAAAAATACAAGTACCTTTGTAAGTAATTTATTGTATTAACTTTATAAAAGGGGATGCTATGTTTTTTTCCTCTTGTAACATGACAACTTTTGTGTGGCAAAGCAGATTAAAAAAAAAAATTAATGATCTATTCAGAATAACTGTTTTTCTCTCTTTTATATAGTAGTAAAGTTTGCAATTAAATCAGGGAAAATAAAAAAATGACCTAACTGAAGAGACATTTATTGTTGAAATGTGCATCTGGTGCAGAAAATTTGTACTGTTAATGTTATATCACAGGTCATTATTTTATGCCTTGAAGCACATTTTATTGAAACTTGGTATCGTCTGGGTTGTTTCTTCAAAAGAAAGACCTATCCATTCTGAAAGAAAAGTACTCCATACAGGTATATAAAGGTACATAACAAATGTTACCACTGAAATTATTGCTCACGGATATAAGAAACCTAGTTGAATCTATAAAAAAAAATATAGGGTTCTATGACAACAGACAACATTTTCTTTTTTACTTTATTTAAAAAATGATTGAAGTACATATAATGTAAGCACTTGACCACAACTTATTTACTTATTTGAAATAGACAAGGCAGGATTTGAAGAGACTTTTTGAACATGTATTTGAAAGACCGAATGTTTGTATGGTGCAGATGTTTGTAATTTCTTTATTATCACATGACAGATTTAATTCCCCTTCATCTGATTTTAATGACTTGTCCATTGTACAGTTTGTTATGCACAGACTATGACTCTATATATTTTCAATAATGTAGTACTTTTTAGTTCCTGAGTGCAGTCAGGACACCTGTCCATTTTTTGAGGAAGGAGTGGTGTTTTTTTTCAATAAAGAGTAATAATTAATTATGTTGGATTTCAATTTTTCAATGTGGCATATCATTGTACATGTATCAATGATAAAATTACATGAAATATTAAAAATCAAATATCACATTTTGTATCGAAATGTTTCAGGTTTTGTAAACGTTTCTGATGAGCAGGTTTACTTTGATGCAGAGAAGTCAATAAAGCAGACTTTATTCCAGTTCCAGCATCTTCAAAAAGTGTGGCAGGAAGTTCTTCCAGGATCTATTTATAGAAAAGCTGTTGGTAAGATTGTTGACAATTGCAAGCAGGAAAAGTTTGTCCATAGATAAAATACATTAATATACAAAATCATTTACATTATCATGTGACATGTATGAAATAGTATCATAGTCTCTTAGCTTGGACCACCCATCCTTTGTGAAATAAAAACTTTTGTTACACCACTGTTCTGACATAAGGGAATTAGAGAAATGTCAGTTTTACATGTCAAGTTGTATTTAATCATTTTTCACAAGTCATTTTTGGTTTTGTCTCCATGGGAAGACTGTTAATGAATGTTGGTAAGCAGCGTTGATGGCATTAACCATTTTTATAAGGCTGTATATTTCTATATCCTGGATAATTCATATCTTGTAAACAGATGCATTTTGGTTTGTCTGCGTGATCTAGAATATGACCATTGTCTTTGACCTTATTTTCAAAGTTCCTGTTTCAATCTTTAAAAAAAATTATAATCAATAGTGTTTCCTTTTGTGCATCCATCCATGTCACGTTTAAGTTTTAGTTTAATGTAAATAACCATGAAGTTGTAGTTAAGAACTTAAAACTTAGTACACAGTCATGTTTATTGTGATGTAAGCCTTTTAAAATATGTGGCAAAATAGAGGTTTTAAAGGGAAACTCCGCGATTTTTTACTTATCATCTAAATATGTTCATCTTAACATAAAAAACACATTCACAAAGTTTTAAATTTATATTCTTTCTAATAACGGAGAAAATCAAGTATTTGTAACTTTTTTGGTTGACCTACGTCACTGGGTTGTGACGTTTTAACCCGTATTGTTGAATCATGGGAAAAAATAAAATCTGTTAAAGTCTTAATTGCTTATCAGAATTTTATGTAATTAAAAGCGCACAGATGACCGTTGGTCGTAGTTAATAACCACAATATAAGAATGAAAGAAAATGAATATGTGTGTACCGTTTTGTATTGATTGAATAAGACTTCCTATATGGAGTTATCTTTAAATATAAATATTTTCGAATTAATTTCAAAAATTATTAAGATTTTTTCATAAAATATCTATAGAACATTTTTACTGATATTGAACTGAAAATATTTTAAGTTTTATTTACCGTTATAACTTTGATAACCATTTCAATGCAAAATTTTTTGTGAACAGAGTGTGTATATAATTTTGTAAAGTCATTGTTTATTTCTCGGTTTGAGGAGAATTCGTTTAAACTTTACCTTGCAGCAATTTAGCCTCAGGCGTACACAGGTGTGAATTCAAGCGTACACAGGTGTGAATATTGTCATTTTGAATGGATTAACAGAAAGAGTATAGCGTGTTTAATATACCCAGATGAAATACCCGATGACAATAGAGAAACAATAATTAAATTGTATAAATTAATTGAAAATTAACATTCAACTTTTTTATTCCGGAAGTGTTACAATATTAAAATGGAACAATTTTCGGTTACGTTCTATGCAATTAGCATAAAGTTAAGATATGAAGTTAAAAGAATAGTACTTTTAATCTTAAAAATTAAATGTTACATTTCACAATTAATAATCATTGCACATCTGTTTAATTTACTTTACCGGAATTCTTTAACTTGTATTTAAATCTGGCTATGTTTAAATGCTAACAATCGTAAAACTATCGCAATCTTAAAGTTTTTAATTGAAAAAATACAACAGTACAACATGCATGATTTTTTTTAATTTTCTTATTAACATTTCATTCTTACATAGTTAAATTCATTTGACAATCACTTAGACAAATTATTTGTGAAAAGAAAACCAATAATGGTTTATTTCATTAATGAATATACATACATTATAAATCTAAGCTAATACATTAATTTGTTTGAGGATTTTTTTAGGATAGCCGTCATTAATCCAAATTAGTAATACAGTTGTTGTAATTAAAGGCATATCTTAGTAATGTATTACTGATATTGACGATTTTAGAACAGTTCGTCCCAACCTCGTTGTTCTTGAAACAATCTTTACTAGTATACTTGTAAGTTTCCTGACGTATAAGCGCCATTGAGGATGAGCTCCAGAGATAGCAGACTAGTAGCGTATTTGTTTGTTGGGGCAGGAGAGGCCATGCAACCACTTGTACAGATAAACAAGCTTATGTTGTCAACACTATCAGAAAGAGTTCCCATCGTCGGATGGGGTATATGAAGGTTCCAAGAATGAACTATTGACATGTCTGACTCTGAACAGTTAGTAAACGGACTTAACAATGATCTATAGACATCGACCGCTTGTTCTTGATATTTAAAACTGCATGCGTATACACGTTTATGAGAGTCATTATTTATCTTGTGTCTGACGAAAACTAAATGCCTGCATGGTTATCATCTTGCCATACGTTTGTATTGGTTTGGTGGGTGTTCACTCAAAATCGTAATTCAAAAATTGTGTTTGTGAGATGTAGATTCACTTCAATACCGAATTTCGTCTATATATTTCACAAGTGTATACCACGGAGAAGATCTGAAGGTATATTACTCCCATTTTGTTTGGGTGTGGACCATCAATGTTTACAGCAATATTTAATGAATAAGATGATGATGGTAGAAAGAACTATGAGCGTCATGTGGAAAATATCACATGCATGTCGGACCATGAGTTGTCAATCTGTATGAAAAGATTTCCAATACAACCATATTGAGTAGGAATTTTTACATGCTATACTCTCGTACTAGTATTACAGGGTTCTTGTGTCGTTTAACTCTGACACACATCTTTTACTTTAAGATGTATGAAAGGTTCTAAATGTATAAATATATCTTAAATGTAACAATAATCAAACGCCTATAGGCAATCACTAAAATGGTATGAAGTTTTTATACAGATTTGTTCTTATTTACACAATCATTAACAAAATAAATAAATTTAACAAAGTAACACCGTGACACTACGATATAACAAATGGGATACTAATTATTTTTAACCATGCTATTGAGAAATTTAACACATCAAGCAGGAACATATATATTAATATACTGTTCCCAGCATCAAGTTAGTGCACGTGAATACCAATTAGGAACACGATGTGTGATTTTGTATAACTAAAAATATCAAAGCCAGCAATAACTTTGTCAAGCAAACATTTTTTTCATTATGCCTCTCTTTATCTCCGCTCCTTTACAATGACTTTTTCGCTTTTCGTCGATCATTCTCTATATTGTTCTCTATTCGGTTATTTTTTTTTCACTATGCCACTCTAACTCCGCTCCCTTTTCCCCTGTCGTCCTAATCCTTATAAAGATAGAGACATTAGACATATTAGAAGGGACTCTCTTATCTTCAATGAATTAATATTGATAGTGACTATAAGTGCTGCATTACTTTATATATCTGCATGTTTGCCAATCGACATAAGCTTGTATTTGCGTGAAGAATTTTCCAGAATCACGACAAAACAATATTCATTTTACCAAAATGTTCAAATGTCATGTTTATAATTTTATAATAATAAACTTATTATCAGCAAAAATAGTGGATAATATTATTATCAGAACATCATTCATTAAAAGGTGGAATTATAATTTCAAACACACACAAGATAAACAACGTTAGACACAAATATATGGTTCAATAAATGTTACCTGTGCACACCGGGTACCTCAATAAAGAGGCCATGCATGAACCTGTATTATATAATTGTGTAATACGAATTTTTAGTTGACAGGATGTCACTGGAATACCCAGGGACGTGTATCTAATATACGTCCTTGGGATACCTAACTGAATGTGTCGCTCTGACACGACATCTATCAATAATTCTGACATACCTATTATCAATTCGGGAGGAAGCCAATATATATATATAATAAGATAACGTAAATAAAATTTAAAAAGAAAAAAAACCTATAAATTTTTCACCGAACATACCAGATAGAGTCACACATTTAACTGTAAAGCTAACTTAAGTGTCTTTTTAAGTGACCGATCCGAATTGATTCCGTATAAATTTGATATAATTCAAAGATTAGTTAAAAAAAAACACTTTTAATAAAAAAAATTGAGATGTCCGATATTTCGATATTTACATATCTATAACCTGGGAATATTATACTATATCAACATATTATGTTCCAGCTAAAACCTCTTCCTAACATTGCTCCTTGTCAATAGCCGTTAAATATCATAATTAAAAAAATGTTATTTTATATCGTATATAACTTTATTAATTGAAAAATTATCTTGTCTAAATACGGAACTATTCTTTATACAAATCAATGCACTTTATATAAAAGAGGCATACTAATGAATCTTCTGTAAATCAGTGATTGTTACAAGAACACTGCGTTTGTCTTTCTTATAATTGAAACTGTTCTTCCTCACCAAATCTATATTTTTTTTATTCAACGGGATCTTATCATATAAGGATTTGATAACTATAGCTATCAGAACTGCTAGGTTATTTTGTTATTAAAAAAGGATAATTACCATCGAATCTCCCTCGTCACAATATTGTTCAAAATGGTCTTCACACACCAACTTGTACTTGCTATAGATGCAACTATTTGCTGTTAGTTTAAGGTTGTACAACCATGTCTGATACAATTCTTTCTTTTTTTGTGGGATTGGGATAACTATGTAGACTTTTGTCATAACCTTGTCTGACAGAACAACTGTACGCTTGACAAGACATTTTGACACTGAATTACCGTCTACGGTAATCCCCAATTGATGATGGGAGTTTTAAACGCACGGTCGGTAAATCCCCGATTCTTTTTGTTCTTTGTGGTTTATAGATATCACGTGACTTTTTAGATCGAACATGCCGACAAGATGGCGATATGTCGAGAACTGATAGTGAATTTCAAAAATCGATTTTGATCTCTTTACATAGAGAATAAAAGTTTTTTATTTATGAACATGTGGTTTTTTATGCTTAAAGAACAAAATATCAATTTTTCATTTTTTTGCGGAGTTTCCCTTTAACTCAGATTTTAGGAGTCACTAAACCTGGAAATGTGATAGCTTAATCTAGGGACTGAGGTCCTATGCACACATGTTCTTGTTTCTTTTATAATGAGTATTCAGAATTATTGCAAGGTATACATGTGATGTCCGTCAGACTAGGTTCACCTGACCTTAACCTCATTTCATGGTTCAGTGATCAACATTAAGTATAGGTGATTTGTTCAACTTAGATACCATCAGCAATAGGTCAACCCAATCATTTGATTGTAAGGTGTACATGTCTGTCTGGGAGGATTCACCTGATCTTCCCTTTTAATGGTTCATAGATCAACATTAATTTTTGGTGAATGCACAGTTCACCTGACTCTTATGTCATTTTTAAAGTTTATTGGTCAATGTTAAGTTTTTGTCTAGCCTGCGACTTCTGGCGCAGAAAGCAAGACATAGGGATAGTGATCTGCTGTGGTGGCGTTAACTAATTACTTAAAAGCTAATATTTCAGAAGGTAGAAGACCTGGATGCTTCATACTTTGTATACAGATGCCTTATGTTCTGAGGTTTCCGTCTGTCATATGTCCTTTGTCCTTGACCTCATTTTTATGGTTCAGTGACTACTTGGAAAAAAAGTTAAGATTTTTTGTAATGTTAATTTCTCACTTATTATTAGTAATAGGATAACTATATTTGGTATGTGCCTACCTTGCAAGGTCCTCATGCCTGCCATACAGTTCATAGTTCAGTGGACAATGTTTAGTTTTTGTGGTTTGGTCTATTTCTCAGATATTAAAACAATAGGTCATTATATTTTGTGTATGGAAAGATTGTAGGGTGTACATGTCTGTCTGACAGGATTCATATGACTGTGACCTCATTTTCATGGCTCATTGGTCACTGATAATTTTTTCGTAATTTTGTCAGTTTATCAGTTGATCAGATACTATGACAAAAGGATAATTATTTTTGGTGTATGGAACAATTGAAGGGTGTATATACATGTACAACTGGCAGGTGTCATCTGACTTTGACCTCATTTTTATGGTCCATTGGATAATGTTTATTTTTTGTAGTTTGGTCTATTTCTCAGATATTATAATCAATAGGTCAACTATTTTTGATGTATGGAATGATTATAAGGTGTACATGTCTGTCTGGTAAGGTTCATTTGACCTTGACCTCATTTTCCTGGTTCGTCTGTCAATGTTAAGATTTTGTGGTTTGATCTGTTTCTCAGGTACTATTAGTGATAGCACTATATTTGGTGAATGGAATGATTGTAAAGTGTACATGTCTGTCTAGCATGGTTCATCAGACTGTGACCTTATTTTCATAGAACATTGATAATGGTTAGTTTATGTGATACTTGTAGTACAACCTTCATATTACAGACTTTCAACATGAAATCAATCATAAGTAAAACAGGCAAGACATTTCAGTGTGTGCACTCTTGTTGTAATTGGGGTAATTTCTCAGATACTTTATGATATAGGTGAACTATAATTTGCTGTAAAGAATGATTGTAAGGTGTACTTTTTTGTCTGGTAGGGTTATCTGATCTTCACCTTATACTGGTTCATTGATCAACATTAATTTTTGGTGTATGTACCAAGGCTTCCAAAACGGTCATATATTCCAGACATTTGTATAATGTCTGGTAAATGTCCGGCTGGACAAAGCACGAAACGGTCATCTACTTTTTAGATTTCAAGGCTTTCTTAAGAGACGGTCATTTTAACATAATTCGCGATCTTTTTGACCCAACCTTTTGCCTTTAACAGCCACACATTTCCGGTCATAAAAGTGACATGATCATTAAGTACTATCAAAACAACCCCTACTTTAATACCTTCTCATTTTAATCAAGGCTAATTAGTTGTCGAACAGCTGAAATTTACCTGTTCAGATGACAGGTAAACTATTTTGAACCGGACATTGATCGGTCTATTCAAAGTTATTTTCTTACATTTCACCGGTTTGCATCTAATTAATTTAGTCAAAAAGATTTAAATTATCAGAAATACATTTACAAATATGATTTGATGAAAAAATTAAAAAGGTGAAAATTAAAAATCGTCATAACCACGTTGTTTGAACGAGACATGTCTCTGTTTGAACTAGTACACGTGTGCGCATGTGCGCAGGTGTGAAATTTAATTATGCATACTAATTTTTCAAAAAATGCTTAAATTGTCATTGATACCTTTATCTCACGTTTATTTCGAATATTTTCTTGAAGAAATAGCGTAGAATGAGCTACTTACACTCATTCGTGCTTTGCAAACGTACACGGAATTTTCGTATCCGTCTCTGGTCCATGTTTTACCATTGTAAAGATAACATCCGATTTAAAAACGAAAGTAAAGTTTTTGACAACGTTATTTTGCACAAATAAAGAGTCTAAGGCAGATATAAGTACGCTGATGTTGCACACTTCGAATGATGCACTGCCAATTTAACAGTTTACGTCAGAACTTCGAATTTGAATCAAAGAAAGTTTAATATCGTTTTTTTTTAAAATGTCAATCATGATTGACATTGGGATGGCCAACTCGGCAACTGATTACCATAATTGCCTTTTGTTTATTTAGTCTTAAGGGATTAAAATCGGGATAATATATAAAATGTCCGGCTGGCTAAAAATAATTTTGGAAGCCCTGGTATGTACATTTGTCTAATGATTATAAGATATTTTGATGTGCATCAGTTTATTTTATAAACCTTTAAAATTTGTGACATTGTTAATAGCAGGTATAACATCCCAAAATATTTATAATTTCACCTATTGTCTAAGATAATCCATAAAAAGGTAAACCAGGAATTGCCAAGAATACATCAAAGTTGAACAGATCTCATCAACCACCAATGCCTGACTCCCTTGTATTATTTAAATTTATGAAAAACTATCTTTAAATTTTAAAAAAAGATGCATGTATTACATCTTTCTGTAATGCAAAAAATTGAAAAAAATATATATATTATCATCTTTCTATAAATCCTACCATCTACAGTATATTTCGCATATTGTCTATTTTAGGAACTTTAATGAATGGAGTGATATCAGACATTGTTGCAAGTATAGTTATATTGGAGGACATATCTTCGGATGATGCTAAACATCTAGGTAGCCTTCTGACCTTGATACAGGACAAAGCTGGAGGTCTGTTTGAATCATTAGATGAAGAAGGAATTAATGTGAAAGTAGAACTACAGAGGAACGTACCAAAATGGCTTAGATTTTGTGAACTCATTTCAATACTCAATGCTAGTTTGTTGGAAATAGCAGATAGATGGGCTGATGGTAAAGGTCCTCTTGCCAATGAATTTTCAGCAACTGAAGTAAAGCAAATGATTAGAGCGCTGTTTCAGAACACTGAAAGAAGAGCTAATATTCTTACTAAAATAAAATAAAAACTATATATCATATTTGGAATTATTTCATTTTGTCTCATCTTCAGTGAAAGTCACAGAATGCAAGACATACATTTGTAGGGATCCTTATCTCAGTGTTTTCCCCATAGGCCTTTTTAGCAGCATGGTAATGTAATGCTATATTGCTTGTGTGTGAAGTTATCTTATCTGAAAATATTTTCTTATAGATTGTATTGTTTATGTGATGCTTTAATTTTTCAAAACAAGTTGGTATTTCAAAATTCCATGTTTTCCAGGATGTTATAATAATTATGTTTGGAGAAAACTTTTTAGCTGCCAGAATGGTGTAAAGTATTTTTACATTTGTATTTCAGATGATGGGAGAGCTGGATAATACATCAAGATATGATTTATAATCTGATGTTTCTTTCTGGAAAATATCCTGTGTCTGTGACCTTATTTTCATGGTTCATGTTATTTTTAGGGCCCACTGATCAATCAGCAGAAGACCTAGGGTAATCAGCTTGTCTGTTCTTATGTCCGACACAAACCCCTATGACACCATGTGAGCGCAACTCCTATGATACCATTGGACAGAAGCTCTCATACTTGGTAGAATTGTTTGCCATGAAGTGTATTTTACCATATTTTACTGTCATTTTGAATCCACCATTTTAATGGAAGTTATGGGATTTCATCTGACCTTGATCTCATTTTCATGGTTCAATGGTCAATGTTAGTTTTTGCAATAAGTTCTGTTTCTTAGCTAGTATAAGCATATATTTCATATACAATGTATATATTTGGAGTAAAAAAGTGATTGTATGGTGTACATGCATATGCCTGTCTGGCAGGGTTCATCTGACCTGGACCTCACATGTCCAATGACCCAACCTGCCAACCAACAAAATTTAAGAAAATCTGAAGGAACAAAAATGTTCAGAATGATGCGACATGCCTATTGTTCATTTACATCAAAACTGGCTGACGACTTCTTATAGCAGTTATTGGCCTTAAATGACTAATTTTTACCCTTTTTCTTTTTTTCAATTTTGCCTATTATCTTGAAAACTAGAATGGATAGAAACTTTAAAAAGCAAAAGTGATCAGCAAGACAAGATCTACAAATAAGTTCACTGGATGAAATTGTCTGATGACTCCTTATTGGAGTTATTATCCTTTAATGGCGATTTTTACCTATTTTTAGCTCACCTGGCCGTCATCGTTAACTTTTACAAAAATCTTCTCTGAAACTACTGGACCAAATTTAACCAAACTTGGCCTGAATCATCATAGGGTTATCTACTTTAAAAAATATGTCCGATGACCCTGCCTGCCAACCAAGATGGCCACCATGGCTAAAAATGGAACATTGGGGTAAGATGCAAGTTTTGTCTATTATTTTGAAATCCATTATAAATAGAGAGAAGATGACGGGGCAGAATTGTTCAAAATATTGAGCTCTACCAATTGTTAATTTTAGTCAAAACTGTCCGGCGACTTCTTACAGCAGCTATTGCCCTTAAATGACAAATTTTACCATTTTTTTTTTTCATTTTTGACAATTATCTTGAAAATTATAATATTTAGAGAGAAACTTTCAGTTGCAAAAATGATCAGCAAGACAAGATCTACAAATAATTTGAAAGTCGAAATCGTCAGTAGATTCCTTATTATAGTGATTGCCCTTCGATTTGTATGCCCCACCTCAGGGCATTATGTTTTTCGGTCTGTGTGTTCCTTAGTTCGTTCGTCCATTCGTCCCTCTGTCCCGCTTAAGGTTAAAGTTTTTGGTCAAGTTAGTTTTTGATGAATTTGAAGCTTACTGCATTCTATGATATGATCTTTCTTATTTTAAAAATTAAAATAGATAAATATAAACTTTAAATAACAAAAATGATCAGCAAGGCAAGATCTAAAAAAGTCAAATTTTGCCAATATAGTCAGTAGACTGTCACTCTTCATAGGAATGATTGCCCTTAAATGAGGATTTTTTTACCCTCTTTTGTGATTTGAACAAACTAAAGAGACAAAATGATCAGCAATACAAGATCAACATAAAAGAGATTTTTGTCAGGAATTCTATTCTTGTCTACAATGTTCCAGAGTGTCCTTTGTTCAATATGCACATAGACCTAGTTGAGCGACACAGACTCTTTAGAGCCCCTTGTTTCCGTTTTTGTCCATTATAGATGGAACTTAAATGAGCAAAAATGATCAACAAGAAAAGATCTTCAAATAAGTCAGCATGGACGAAATCTATTGATGACTCCTTCTTATAGTTATTGCCCTTAAATGATGATTTTTATGCCCCACCTAGGGGCATTATGTTTTTCGGTCTGTGCGTCCCTTAGTTCGTTTGTCTGTCCGTCTGTCCCGCTTCAAGTTAAAGTTTTTGGTCAAGGTAGTTTTTGATGAAGTCGAAGTCCAATCAACTTGAAACTTAGTACACATGTTCCCTATGATATGATTTTTCTAATTTTAATACCAAATTAGAGCTTTGACCCCAATTTCACGGTCCACTGAACATAGAAAATGATAGTGTGAGTGTGGCATCCGTGTGCTATGGACACATTCTTGTTACCAATTATTGGCGTTCTAAATATCTCTAAAACTATAATAGATAGATATAAACTTAAATTAGCAAACATGATCAGCAAGACAAGATTTTCAAATAAGCTTATTGGCCGAAACATCAGTCGACTCCTTATTGGAGTTATTGCTCTATAATGACGGTTTTTACTCATCTTTAGCTCACCTGGCCCAAAGATCTAAAATAAGTCTACATGACCAAAATGGTCAATTGACCCCTTAAGAAGTTATTGACCTTTACAGTCAATTTTTAACAATTTTTTGTAAATTTTTGTAATCTTTTACAAAAATCTTCTCCTCTGAAACTACTGGGCCTAATATAACCAAACTTGGCCACAATCATCATTGGGGTATTTAGTTTAAAAAATGTGTCCGATGACCCAGCCCACTAACCAAGATGGCCGCCATGGCTAAAAATAGAACATAGGGGGAAAATGCAGATTTTGGCTTATATCTCTGAAACCAAAGCATTTAGAGCAAATCTGACGGGATAAAAATGTTCAACAGGGAAGATCTATCTGCCCTTAACTTTTTAGACAAATCAGACAACACGTAGTTGGGTTGCTGGCCCTGAATTGATAATTTTAAGGAAATTTTGCAGTTTTTAGTTATTATCTTGAATATTATAACAGCAATAATGTTTAGCAAAGTAAGATCTACTAATAAGTCAACATGACCAAAATGGTCAATTGACCCCTTAAGGAGTAATTGCCCTTAATTTTAGTCAAAACTGTCCGGCGACTTCTTACAGCAGCTATTGCCCTTAAATGACAAATTTTACCATTTTTTTTTTCATTTTTGACAATTATCTTGAAAATTATAATATTTAGAGAGAAACTTTCAGTTGCAAAAATGATCAGCAAGACAAGATCTACAAATAATTTGAAAGTCGAAATCGTCAGTAGATTCCTTATTATAGTGATTGCCCTTCGATTTGTATGCCCCACCTCAGGGCATTATGTTTTTCGGTCTGTGTGTTCCTTAGTTCGTTCGTCCATTCGTCCCTCTGTCCCGCTTAAGGTTAAAGTTTTTGGTCAAGTTAGTTTTTGATGAATTTGAAGCTTACTGCACTCTATGATATGATCTTTCTTATTTTAAAAATTTAAATAGATAAATATAAACTTTAAATAACAAAAATGATCAGCAAGGCAAGATCTAAAAAAGTCAAAGTTTGCCAATATAGTCAGTAGACTGTCACTCATAGGAATGATTGCCCTTAAATGAGGATTTTTTTACCCTCTTTTGTGATTTGAACAAACTAAAGAGACAAAATGATCAGCAATACAAGATCAACATAAAAGAGATTTTTGTCAGGAATTCTATTCTTGTCTACAATGTTCCAGAGTGTCCTTTGTTCAATATGCACATAGACCTAGTTGAGCGACACAGACTCTTTAGAGCCCCTTGTTTCCGTTTTTGTCCATTATAGATGGAACTTAAATGAGCAAAAATGATCAACAAGAAAAGATCTTCAAATAAGTCAGCATGGACGAAATCTATTGATGACTCCTTCTTATAGTTATTGCCCTTAAATGATGATTTTTATGCCCCACCTAGGGGCATTATGTTTTTCGGTCTGTGCGTCCCTTAGTTCGTTTGTCTGTCCGTCTGTCCCGCTTCAAGTTAAAGTTTTTGGTCAAGGTAGTTTTTGATGAAGTCGAAGTCCAATCAACTTGAAACTTAGTACACATGTTCCCTATGATATGATTTTTCTAATTTTAATACCAAATTAGAGCTTTGACCCCAATTTCACGGTCCACTGAACATAGAAAATGATAGTGTGAGTGTGGCATCCGTGTACTATGGACACATTCTTGTTACCAATTATTGGCGTTCTAAATATCTCTAAAACTATAATAGATAGATATAAACTTAAATTAGCAAACATGATCAGCAAGACAAGATTTTCAAATAAGCTTATTGGCCGAAACATCAGTCGACTCCTTATTGGAGTTATTGCTCTATAATGACGGTTTTTACTCATCTTTAGCTCACCTGGCCCAAAGATCTAAAATAAGTCTACATGACCAAAATGGTCAATTGACCCCTTAAGAAGTTATTGACCTTTACAGTCAATTTTTAACAATTTTTTGTAAATTTTTGTAATCTTTTACAAAAATCTTCTCCTCTGAAACTACTGGGCCTAATATAACCAAACTTGGCCACAATCATCATTGGGGTATTTAGTTTAAAAAATGTGTCCGATGACCCAGCCCACTAACCAAGATGGCCGCCATGGCTAAAAATAGAACATAGGGGGAAAATGCAGATTTTGGCTTATATCTCTGAAACCAAAGCATTTAGAGCAAATCTGACGGGATAAAAATGTTCAACAGGGAAGATCTATCTGCCCTTAACTTTTTAGACAAATCAGACAACACGTAGTTGGGTTGCTGGCCCTGAATTGATAATTTTAAGGAAATTTTGCAGTTTTTAGTTATTATCTTGAATATTATAACAGC